TATCTTCGCGATTTCTGGTTGCGACAATTGGCATTCGTTAGCTAACTCGAAAAGGCATCGGATAGCAAGAAAACTGGCTGATGCTTGGCCATAAGTAACCGTATTTAAAGCAAAATGTTGTAATGGATCTGAAGGACTTTCCCTCCAGACTATTTTTTGAAGACTGCGTTGGCTGGGATGAATTAACACCTGCCTGTACATTTTGGTTACGTCTGAGCTTATGATGAATTTGTGTTTTCTGAATCGGATGAGAATTGAGAATAGATCTTGTTGTATACTGGGTCCGACGCATTGAATATTGTTTAATGATAACCCGTTGCTTGTTGGTGAAGATGCGTCAAACACGACACGAAGTTTTGTTGTAAGACTGTCCTCCTTTAGGACACCATGATGTGGCATGTAGTAGTCGACAGTAGAGTTTTCAGAGATATCTGCTAACGACATGTGGTTTAGCTCCTGATATTCGCGCATGAATTGTATATATTGTTCGCGAAGAGGATTGTTTTGTGCTAATCTTTTTTCTAGATGATGAAATCTTCTTTCAGCTTGTATCCTTGAATCACCCAACACATGCGGATATTGTTTTAATGGCATCATAACTATGAATCTACCATTTGGATCACGTGTAGTAGTTTTTTGAAAATTGTCCTCGCACAATTGCTCTTCTTCAGATAGATGAGGAATATTTGGCAATTCCTCTACTTCCCAAAATTGCTGAAGAAGTTTAGTTAGTTCCAGATTTGTGCTAAGATTGCAAGATATTGTATTGTGGGGAACCGATCCCAGCGGGCCAGAAATTATCCACCCAAATATTGTTTCTGTTAAAATAGGACCTTGATCTAAAGATATGCGACCTTTACAAATCAAATTCCAAAAAATATCTGCGCCGATAAGAATGTCAATAGATCCAGCATTGCCAAAATTAGGATCTGCTAACCGAATTGTATTAGGAATGTTTATAGCGCTTACATCAATGTTTGTATGAGGAAGAATATTTGTTATTTTTGGCAATACAAAACAGTTGATTATTTTTACAAATTTATTATTAGATGTGCAAATCTCTAACTGACATTGACCTGTAATAGTTGATAGTTTGTTGCCTATGCCCAAAAGATTTAAGCTGACATCTTGTGGTTTGATTCCTAGTTTGTTACACATGTTTGTTGTGATAAATGAAGATTGAGACCCGCAATCCAATAGTGCACGAGCCCTTTGCATTTTACCATTCATATCTTTAACACTTAAGATTGCTGTTGAGAGAAAAACATAGCCTGTATCAGAACAAGAAAGCATGCTGTTACCACAAAATGTATTGTTACTTGTTCCTGGATTTATTGGCTCACTTGTACTTTGTGATGGATTTGTATTAATACTGCTATTGGATATATTCGAATTTCTATTGAATGTGCCCGAATTATTTTGGCTTATAATGATGCTCCTATCATTTGTATTATTGTGTAAAAGTGAGTTGTGACGTGCTTTGCACTTGCGACATGGCCCGAGTTTGCACTGTTTATTGGAGTGACCCGATCGCAAGCAGTTTGTACACAATGATTTTGATCTAATAAAATTCCACCTTTCGTTTATTGGATAATTTAAAAATGTTTCGCAAGTGTAAATGCTATGGTCGCCTTGACAAGAGACGCATGTATAGTTTGTTTTTGTTGCTAAGAATCCCCTAGTCGTCCTGTTCTCCTTACTTTTATTTTTTGTTTCAATGTTCATTTCAATTGCCTCTAGAAAATCTGCTCTTGATTTTAAAAATCCTTTTAGATCGGATAAAGTTGGTAGTTCCGTTTGAGTAGCAATATGCTTTTCCCATTCCCTAATAGTAGTTTCGTCTAGTTTTGATGTTATAATGAATATAAGTAAGGCATCCCATTGTTCACACGGCTGATTTAATTGTTGAAGTGACTTTAAATGTTTTGAAAAATCATCTACTAATTTACGAAATTTTACAAAGGATTCTTTGTGAATAGATTCCAATGAAAATAAAGCTTTAATATGATTGTGTATTAAGAGTTTTTTATTATTGTATCGATCACATACAGAGTCCCATGCCAAATTGTACCCGTTTGCGGAAAATTCGATAGGTTTTATGACTGCGGCGGCATTTCCTTGTAATGATGCCCGAAGATAATGATACTTCTGAATATTTGTAATACTATCATTTGTATGAATGAGTGACTCAAAAGTGTCTCGAAATTCTAGCCAAAATTCGTATGTGCCGTCGAACTTTGGAATTTGTATTGTTGGCAGTTTTACACCTTGTAAACGATAAGCCCCGTCAGAAATAGAAGTGTTATTGTTTGTATGCTCGTTTGTCACCGACTGTTTATCATCAATATCTGAAATGAATTTATTTAACAATGCTTTGGCATTAGCCGATAGTGAATAAAAATTGTTTTCAAGTTCTTCCCTTATCACAAAGTGTGGTTCGGGATCGTCTGCCAATTCTTCTATTTCTGATTGGATAATTTTAATTTCTAAAAATGTATTTTCTAGTTTATTTATTCTGTCGCTTAGTTCGATTTTTTCAACATCATGTAATTCTAATTTGCATTTAATAGACTCTAGAAATTTGGAGAAAATTGTAAATGAAGCTTTATGACCAGCACGTTTTCTAATTAATCTTTTTAAGTGTTCGTCCGACATTGTTTATTAATCAAATAGATTCGAATTAAATTTAAATAGATATATAGATTGTAAATAGTTTTATGCAACTTACACAAACAAAAACAGTATAAATAGGTATAGGAATCAGATGGGAACTCACCGGTATTTTTGGCTGTATATTGTTCGGCAATCCCACGTGTTCTTTCACTTGACCGTTAACTGTGAATCACTTTTAGCACTGATTTTATCACAAATATCGGGTCGAATGGACCATTGTTTACTGTTGTAGTGGACTGTATTTGCTGAAATTATTAATTAATAGTCTAAAATACTGCATTTATTTATGAATTTGCACAAAAATATGAAAACAATAACAAATAGTTCTATGCTTCTCAACGGCTGGTGATGGAATGTCATTCTGTCATCTGTCGTCTGTACCGACTAGCTGGCTGGCTGGGCTGCAGTGGCGGACCGTTCAAATACAAAATGGGTTGTCGTCGACGGTACATTTTCAGAAAAACCCAAATAAATCGAAACCGGTCAAAAATAGGTATAGGGAATGTTGAATAAAGTAACATTATTTTGTTCAGTATAATTTAAAATTAAAGTAAAATATAGGTTAGTCCATTTAAAAAAGTGTAAGTTTATATTATTACGCCAAATTGGGACACCCTGTATATATCTCACAAATTTTAATTTGTAGCCGGTACTGACCTACGTATTCCTACAAAAGGAATTTTTATTATCTGTAGCCATTTCCCCGGTAGGCTCCAATATTCATCAATATATATATATATATATATATTATATATATATATATATATATATATATATATATATATATATATATATTGATGAATATTGGAGATTATACTATATTTTTACCGTGGTACATTGTAGTTAATTATCGGACAATATTTTAATATTGATGTATGTGTAAAGTTTAAGGACCATTTTGATTTGTATATATATATATATATATATATATATATATATATATATATATATATATATTGATTTGTATAAATTAATTATTTATTATAATTAATTATACAGAATAACAAAATATTCCAGAATTACAGCAAGGAGTAAATGTGAAATTGACAATATTGTAACAAACTTTGACATTAATGATATACACTCCATAATCTCTAATCATATAGCTCAAATTGAAACTTTTTAAAATAGGATCTTTTGGTTACTTTTTTTAGTTTTCTTTGTCTCGCTATATGAATGGTGGTTTAGGCAAAAAAAATAGAAACAGAAAAATCTAAACCAACAGAAAATTATATTTGAAACAAAATATACTCTGTTTCTTTTGGGAACGTAACCCCTTCTAGTTGAAGACGGGTTACTTTAACGCATTCAGTTCAAATTATAAGTATGCAGAAAAACGTAAAGATATAAAAGATATTCTTGGTAAGTAAAAAAGCTTTAAGAGTAACATCGAATCTGGAAAATGTCCAGAGAAGTCACCAAATTCTGACATTTAGCACAATTTACATACAATAAATGATGCTATTATTTTTTAAAAATAGATATTTCTTTTATGAAAAACTTATGCAATACTAAAACATTAACTGTCCGTTGCATAGGTTAACGTTAAGAAAAATTATGTTTATTAGACAATTTTATAATTCAATATAAGGTTGAATGTTCGAATAATTAAACTTTGATAGTATACAAGGCAACTATCGAACACAGTGATTAATTGAATCTTGCCCAAGTACTTTAGATCAATAGATCATCTTCAGGGGCATTTCGTCAGTTGTGGCCTATCTGACATGAGTAGAATGTCATACATGTAAATTTGGACATAACAATACAATACACAAAGACAAACAAACACTTTAAAATTTTTAAAAAGGGGTTGCTACATGTTGTATATACATGACAGAATTCTGTCTCAAGCTTCATGCTTCCAAATAAACCGAAACATATCTCAGAAACAAGATATAATAATACTTTAAAAGAGATGTTATAATATGTTAATAATATCTTAGAACCATATTTTGTAAGCGAAGATATAAAAATGTAACATGGTTACACTTATTTATCGTTATGTTGCCTTATATTTGTACACTTATCTTTATTTGCAATTGCTCTACCTCAAAATAATGATCCAATTGAATATTTTAATAAAATAATAAATTACTATCTCTACTATACCTTTGAGAGACCTATACTGTATACCAAAGTGATCGAATTTATATAAAAAATTATCATTATACTTTATATTTCATAAATGGAACTACATAATACACCCAAATAAATTGTAACATTCTAAATTCTACTATGCCAATGACTCCCTGAGTTTGGAGCATAATTATTAATACAAAAAAATTATGTTTTAAATTAAAATTATGTTTGTTAAAAAATTTTACCTTGAATTTGGGTGTATCGTTGAATGAGTGCCACGACATGGGTAACTTCTGTTCCAGTAACATAATTCCATCATTTGGTTCGAAAATGAATTTAGTTTTTGGTACTCGTTGTCTGCGAAAAATAAATATAAAAGTTAGACTATTAGTAATAGACTGTTATTTAAATTTATGCAACCCCGCAAAAGTAGATGCTCTTTTGGGAGTACAATTATTTTACAAACTTCTGTGTCGTTGAAAAATCAGCCTAATGCTGTTCTCCAAAAAACTCAACGAGACTAGATTGTTGCATAAATAATTCTTCTCGATTGCAAAACTATTTTGTGACATCTTTTATTATGTCCATTGTCTGACCTCAGCATCACAGTTTTGTCACCGGAAGAAAAATCATGCGAAGAGCATTACGAGTGTCACACTAGTCGGGATGTTAATGGTAGATACTTTGTAAGATATCCATTTAATGACAAAAAATCGAAACTAGGTGATTCATAAAATATCGCGTTAAAGAGTTTTTATTCACTATAAAATTGTTTTCGCAAAGATCCTGTTTTGCAACTGGACTATTCTGCTTTTTTGACTGAGTATGAGAAATTAACTTACATGTCGTATACACATGACGTAAATGGCCAAGAAATTGGATTTTATCTTCCTCATCACGCAATATTAAAACAAGATAGTCTCACAACTAAAACTCTTGTAGTTTTTGATACCTCAGCAAGAACGTAAACGAGAATATATCGTTTAACGAATAACAAGCTAAAGGATAACCTATTTGTCATTCTTCTTCGTTATCGTCAACATATATACATATTGGCAGCCGACGCAGAAAAAATGTGTCGCCAAATTCTCGTACATCCCAATGACGCAGTTTATCAAAAAATTTTGTTTTGTAAAAATTCACAAGAGCCAATTGAAACGTACATTCTTAATACCATTACGTATGGTACCGCTCCAGCATTATATTTGTCAACTCGGACTTTTAAGCAATTAGCTCAAGATGAGGGTTTTGCGCATCCTCTCGCAGCTATTTCATTAAACAGAGAATTTTACGTCGATGATCTTCTCACTGGTGCAAAGACTCGCGCAGAAGCATCCCCATTGCGAGAAGATCTTATCGCATTGTTAAAAAAAGGCGGTTTTTTTCTTCGAAAATAGGAATCAAATGATAGCTTTTTAATACTCAATCAAAATAAACACGCTGAGAGTACGCACATGTCTCCAGATCCTGATGCCACCATCAAGGCATTAGGAATTCAATGGAATTCTCTCGAAGATACGCTGTTTTATAGCTCGGGCATTTTAAGTATCGACACTGTAACGAAACGCTCTAGGTATTTTTTGTTCTATAAAAATTATTTGATCCGCTGCGATTATTGCGCCCAGTTATCGTATGTGTCGGAAATCAGAAGTAACCTGGGATGAAGATTGACTAACTAGTCGGTGTCATTGGCAACACGTTTCCTTGATGGACAAGCTGGCAGATTTTTTATGGGTTTTCCTCAGAATTTTTAGAAAATAATATTTGGCAAGTCGGTCCGTCTTAGTTATCTCGAATCCAGTCTGCATGGCCAAAAGGGATTTTGGATTCGATCTAAATTCCCGAATTAAAAATTGTCTCAATCAACAAATTCTATGCAAGTTTTGTTTAATAATAACATTTTAGAAAAATAAAGCTTGATGCATAAATAAATTGGCGTGATTGCATATTGTTTGTCAATTTATTTTTAACACCAAGTAGAAGGGAAAAGATAAGTGCAATTTAAATGACCTACATGCTCAAGACTTGCTCGATACGCAATCTTTAATAATTAAGATGACACGTATGCATGTCTAATATGCAGAAATATATTAGGATAAGGTTACCAATTTCGTGGGAGCAACTCGGGAGTTGTAGAAATGATTTAACTAGTCAGATTATCAAAATGCCATTAGAAAATATTCAGATGTTAAAAGGTTCAAATCTCCCAACTTTGGTGGAATTGGGAAAGCCGCGGTTAAGTCCTTTAAGGATCATTTAATTCGCACTGTAGGTGATACTTTGTTAACATATGAACAATTAGAAACTTATCTTACTGAAATAGAAGTTGTATTAAATTCTCGTCCTATTTATCCTATGTCGTCTAACCCGAATGACCTTGTTCCCCTTCCCCTAGACATTTTTTAATTGGCGGTCCGATGAGGAGCTATCCAGAGACTGACTTTCTGGATGTGTCCTCCAAAAAGTATCAGCTTGGCAGCACGCCCAGCAATTGAAGCAGCACTTCTAGAAACGATGGTATAAAGAATATCTTTATCAATTGACCAGCAGCAATAATGTTAATGCTACCGATAATTGGATGGTAGTCGATGCTTTGGTGTTAATTCTTACAAATAATTTGCCACCATTACAATGGGCACTTGAACGCATCACGTCGGTGCACCCTGGAGAGGACGGCAATGTCAAAGTGGTAACTCTGAAAACTGTCCAAATTTGGACAGTATAAACGCTGCGTTAAGATGTTGTGTCCACTTCCGATCAGCTAAATTTTCGAAGTCAACCGACAACTTCAGTAGTTCAGGTTGGGTGACATGTTCCGTCTAATTATAATTTAGTTCATATTATTTTTTGATTTTATTTTATTTAGATTCATAGTAACGGTACTAACGGTAAACCAATCGTTGTTTAAGACATATTCTTTACACTGCATTTTATAAGCATAGAAGGCCCTCTATGTTAAAAACAACATTTGGTACGTAGTAAATGTAAAACTTTTTAAGTTACAAGTTCATGAACATAAATAACTGATTAGGTGTTAACGGAAGAAGTTGATTAGTTATTTTTTTTGTGTGTTAATAACTATAACGTATGAGACGAACAAAAATTGATGGTTGAGACGTGATTTTGTAATATGATCATCATACCTTACTCAACTTATAACTTAAGAAGAAAAGGCCTTATCTGTTATAAAGCAACACTAGGTACATGTATATATTATATATTGTGGCTAAACACCCCGTACTGCGTTACGCCGCCTAAGCTCTCTAGATCTATTTTACGAGGTAGATCAGTCCTCATTTTCTTTATTTAATTTTTCTTGTTATTTTTCTCCACTGTTTCCTATCTCTGGTTATTTCTCTCCATTGTCGTACGCCCGCCCTGTTGAGATCGTTTGTTACTTCTTGTAGCCATGTAGATCTTGGTCTTCCACGTCTTCGTTTACCAGCTAGTGTCCATTCCAATATTGAGAATATTGTCGTAGATGGTCCTGATCTCCATATTATGTCCTAGCCATTTTGCCCTTTGCTGTTTTATTTTCCAAACTATATCCTCTTTAATTTCGTTTAGTAGTTCATGAGTCGTTCTTTGTCTATATTGGTTTTCATTAATTTTTATTGGTCCTAATATTGCTCTTAGTATTTTCCTTTCTAGTATTCTCAGGTCTTCCTCTTGTTTTTTTGTCATGCTAAGGGTTTCGGCAGCATACATCATAGTCGGTCGAATTATTGTTTTATATATTTTCATTTTCGATTTTTTGCTCAGTAATTTATTTTTTAGAAGCTCTTTATTTGCATAGTATGTCTTATTTGCTGTAATTATCCTTTCTTTAATTTCTGTTTCCCTTTCTCCATTGTTTGCTAATAATATTCCCAAATACTTAAACTTTTCTACTTCTTCAAATATATATTCTCCCAGTCTAACCTTTTCGTTTTCATATTTTTTGTCAAATCTCATTATTTTTGTTTTTTCTTGATTTATTACTAATCCCATTACTTTCCCTTCTGCTACCAATTCTTTTAACATACTTTCCATTTTTTTTCTGTTCTTTGTTATTATCACAATATCGTCGGCATATGCTATTATTTGTCCCTCTCTCGTTCTAAGTGTACCTTTGTTGATTTTTCTGACTATATATTCCAGGGCAAGATTAAACAGAGTTGCAGATAATGAATCCCCGTGACGTACACCTTTATTTATAACAAATTCTTCTGTGTCTCCTTCTTGTGATTTTACAGTTACTACGGTTTTGCTCATTGTCATTTTTATTAATCGTCTTAATTTGTTGTGTATTCTCATTTCTCTCATAGCCGTAACTAATTTCGCTCTGTTTATTGAATCAAATGCTTGTTGGAAGTCGATAAAAAGCAGTTCAATTTCTATTTTATATCCATAAGCTTTCTCCATAATTTGCTTTACCGTATGTATGGCATCTGTTGTTGACTTTCCCTTAATAAATCCGCATTGATACTGCCCCATGATATTTGTTGTCGCTTTGACCAGTCTTAGTTGTATTAAGGTTGACATGATTTTATCTTCTTCCAGTTCCATGACCGTTATCGATCGTTGGATATCATGTTGGCTACCATATTCGCTATCGTGACTTTATTGACAGCAGCTCTAAATAACGATGTAGTTGATTTTCCATACCATTGCCTTAGATTTTTCAGCCATGATGTTCTTCTTCTACCAGGACCACGATTACCTTGGATCTTTCCCTGAATGATCAGATGTAAAAGATCATATTTTTCAGGGTGTCTCATAATATGACCGAAGTATTCCAGCTTGCGTTTCTTTATTATATTGACCAGTTGTGTTGTTTGGTTCAGCCGTCTAAGGACCTCCTCATTTCTAACTCTGTCGACCCAGCTTATTTTCAGTAGTCGTCTGTATACCCACATCTCAAAGGCTGTCAAGCGTTTAAGCATAGCCTCAGTTAGGGTCCACGCTTCTACTCCATACAGCAGGACAGGAAAGATGTAGCAAGATATCATACGAACTCTAAGGTCAATGCTAAGATCATGACTGCAAAGTACGTTTCTCATTTTTACAAAGGCAGCTCGGGCTTGTTCTATTCGGCTTTTAATTTCTGCGGTTGGATCCCAGCTCTCATTGATATTACTGCCGAGATACACGAGTTTCTCTACTCTGTCCAGTGTGGCATCTCCGACTTTTATACCGTCATCATGTATATAATTTTGTTTGCTAACTATCATATATTTAGTTTTCTTAACGTTGAGTTTTAATCCATACTGATCACAAGTCTGTTTTATTTTGTTCATTAGATTTTGAAGGTCTTCTCCGCAATTGGCAAGGACTAAGGTATCGTCGGCATATCTAATATTGTTGACGGTTACTCC